TCTTCATCGTATTACAGTTCTCAAGCTCAGGTGAACATTTAACATGCACAAGTCAAGTAATTATAATAGCTCCACAGGCCCGCTTTCTAGAGCTGTCATTAGACCACAGTATCATGACTCCTTCCTGCTTATGATTCTGCGGGGGGACCATGGCGAATCACACATCTTCACTGTCCAGAACACAGTTCTTTTTTGGGGGAGAACAAGAGGTCTTGGTCTAAAACAGAAAGTGTCCTCATAATATATAGGTTTAGAAAAGGATCTTGCTTCGCAATTACTTCATGTGAAATGGATTTTCCTTCAATGCCCATAGATACCTAGGAATCAATTTTCGTAAAAGGTACCAATCAAAATGTTCAGGCCAAGGAAATCAGATGTCTGGGCCTCTCGTGTGTTCAGGCTTATAGCTTAGACATGGTGGGGGTCCTGTTTGAATCCATAGCCTCATTCCTTCTGGGTGGATTCCTGCTCTTTCTCCTGCCCTGGAAGAAGAGCTTCAAACCCTGTGTCCATAGGAAGCCAAGCCCAGGTTCTGTTTCTACTGCCTTTTGTAGTAACTGACCCAATTCTGAGCCTACATTGTCTCCAGTAAGTCCTGACAGCAAACTAAGCTATGGTGTGTATCTGTGGGTTTGTCACAACTTGTCAGTTTTGTTGTTGTTTATTTGGTTTTTTTTTTTTATGTTGAGACAGAATCCATGGCTTAGAGCACCCTATGATTTACTCTGCTACCATGATGGGCTCCTAATCCCTAAGTCTGTGGTTTTAGACGTTTTGGGGATTTTAGAAACCATCGTGATATGCTTTTCCATTTTACCTTGGAAAAATCCAAGCAATGCTCTTGAATCAGCTTGTAATCCTTTTCATGAAAGAAGACCAGTTCTGTCCTTGGTTTACAGGGGTAGTTCTTCACTTAATAAATAAGGCTGATGGCTCCTAATAGGCCCCAGGCTGAACAGGAAAGAGATAAATGTAGGAAAATTAAAGACATTTGTTAACGTTCAAATGCAATCTACCTTCTGTCCCCACTGGTTACAGCTGTAGATTTAGCCAGCTGTGGCTTGATTGGTACTACAGGGGAAAACATATCACTATTACTCTTGCAGAATAAACAACTATTGATGTAATGTTTACATAATATTCAGCATGTTATCTGGAGGTTATTGAAAATGTTGTGTATAGATTGTATGGAAGTATCACACAATTTTATGTAAGGGATTTGAGCATGCAAGGATTTTACCTCTGTGAGAATCCTGAAACCAAGGGATCTCAAGGAATTGATAAAATACTAACATGAGAAGTAAGGATCTAGTGATGGATTAAAGAAGAGTGTCTTCTCTCTTTCTCTTTCTCTGTCTCTCTGTGTGTGTCTGTCTCTCTCTCTCTGCCTGTCTCTCTGTCTCTCTTTCTCTGTCTCTGTTTGTCTCTCTCATTAAGGTTGGCATTTTAGACATTTCCTAAGAAGTATGCTTGTTCTTCTTAGTCTGAACAGAGCACATGACATATAACTTGTTGGAAATAAAAATGTATTTTTTCCTTACAAAAGGGACTGAAGATTGTTTAATACAAATTTTGAACTCTAGAAAACATAATTTTTAATATCAAGTCTCAGAGACACTGAGGCCATGAACTGTCCTTTTTTTCTTTTCAGTTTTTACCATGACAGGTGATGGAATAACCAGGACAGAGTACTGCATCTCTAGACTTTGGAGCCTAAGCTACCTGCTTCTAGGTCCATCATCAGACCACCCATTCAGAGCCTACATTGCCTCCAGCAAGGCCTGAGAGGTGCCCCTCTCATGAGCACCACGTTTTGCCTCTGTACTGACAGTTCAAATAGTAACCCAGCATTCTTTCCTCAGTTGCTTGATTTAGGGTGAGAAATAACACAGTGTAGTAAAGGAAAGAAAAACAAACCATTCTTACATATGCTGTGGTTTTGTGACTGAGGTGAGGAGAAGGTGTAGGCTACACTGTCCTCTTAGGGTCCCAGCAACCTCTGAAGGGAGGACTGTGGCTGAGGTTTCTCAAGGCTTGCCCATTGTTCCTTGGGCAAGCTCTCGTTCCTTACACAATCCTCTCAGACATAGTAACTCTAAATTTTTAGTAAATAAACCCAGAAGGCAAGAAAGAGCTCTAAAGAATGGCAAATGAATATATTTTTCATCCAATAAATAGGGCTCAGTTCTAGTGCCCTCCCCACCACTTTTTTTAATAATCTTTACAATAGAATTTGTCCCCTCTCACCTTGAAAACTGGTTTCTCTTGTTGCTATTGTTGGATTTATTACCTTTGTGAAGGATATCATCCTTTCAGTTACCTAAGTCTTTCCAGATCATTATTATGCTTTATATGTGTGTATTTACTTATACATAATTTATGATATATATCATAAAACTTTCCATCTTATTTATTTTATTGTACTGTAAATCGATGGCATTATATTGTGTCACAACCATCCACCTCCTTCCTGTCTTCCAGAACCGAAGCTATACATTTATTCAGTGTACTGCCATCATCATTCATCCATGGTGTACCATGTGTTAAAATTTCATACCCCTTAAAGATGAAATAAAATCCCATCATATTCCCCACTTTAATTATCCATTCATCTTTTGTGATTACTTACGTTGTTTCTGCTGTTGTGAATGACATCAGTATAAATGTAGACATACAAATATCTATTGAGTCCCTCCTTTTACTTCCATTGGTAAAATACCAGGATGTTTGATTGCTTTACCTTGTGGTAATTCTGTTTCCTATTTTGAGAAACCACCATACTATCATCTACAGTGCCCGAGTGATTTTCCTTATTATTAACGGTGCACAGTTCCACGTGAGGGTGGCTGTCTCCCCCTGCTATGCCTTCTGTGCACATGTTTAAATTTGCTGTAGTAACATTGATCTTTTTGCTGTCTGAAAATTTGATATTAAATGTAAGACACCATTACAAATTGAATATCACAATGCTTCCACATCTTTACTTCTAATAGTTTTATAATTATAAGTATGATTAGTCATTTAACCTATTTTGAGTTTATTTTTGGATATGAGGTATAAGGATCAAAATTCATTCTTTTTATCTTGGATATCCAGTTTTCCTAGCATCATTTGCCAAAAAGACTGCCATTTTCTTTGTTAGAGATGCCTGATGACTTTGGTGAAAGCCTTTTATCAGAATTGTATCTTTAGTGTCTGAATTATCAAGCGTGGCCTGTATGCTTCTTGGGCACAGCTGTTAGATGGCATTCTGAAATGCGCCACTGACATTATCATGACTTTGCTTAGCAACAGCTACTAAAACCAGTGGTTCCTCCAGCATTTATGAGTGTATTTGTGTGCACGTGTATGTATTCCAAATTTCCCTCTCTTAAAATCTTTGTTACATGATCACACTCAATACATTTCACACCTCCCCCTTTAAGCCATTCAGGCTTTGTGTCTGCAAGCCCTTGTAATTTAATGAGATTAACAAACTCCAGAAACCCAGAGTGTAATCAACACTCCAAAACAACCAGAAAAGTCTTCTGCAAAAAGTCTTAACTGACATCACGTCACACAGCCTTCTGTACAGCATAATCTAGAGTTGTCTTGTGTTGGTAACAGAACACCGAGGAAATCAGTGAGGCTGAAGGAAGATGCTATTTGTCATTTTAATCATCAGGAAATCCTAGTTTCAGGCTCAGAGTCTGCTTATCTGAAATTTATGTGTCATGTGTATAGCATGTAGAATTGTGTTGGGGTTTTTGTCCAAAATGCCAACAACTCTTTGGAACTAACACAGATTGGTTGTGTTGACAGATGTTGGGAGTTGGCTCAAATTCATGACTATTGTTTTCATCTCATGAAAGTCTGAAAACCACTACCCTGGATTTAAATCCCTGAATGTGTGAGCTTGGAAGCTCAAAGATACCTCAGTTCCAGAACCAAAGTGCAGAGTCCATTTGTGAATGAGCAGCTATTCAGCAGAACTGAAGGAGGCCCATTGAAATAATTGCAGAAGCAAACAGTCTTGTTTCCATGGAAACTTCATGTGGACAAGTTCATGCCTCTTGTTTATGTTCCTCCTGGGCATACATATTCAGAAACTGGCTCTGTTCTCTCCTTCAACAATCCCTGAGTAGTGATGAAGGGGTTCTCTCCTGAACAGGGCATTGGCTCCTGAGCTCGAGCTCTGCAGAATCCCTATCTCCACACTGGTGATGCTTCGATCCTCTGCAGGCAAGGGAAGAGGAAACCTAAATTGGCTAGTTAGCCTGCAGCATGTGCAGCTCCCAGGGACTGCTCACCCTCACACTTGAACCTGCAGTGTGTGCTGCTCCCAGGAGCTGCTCATCCTCACACTTGAACCTGCAGTGTGTCCTGCTCACAGAAGCTGTGCAGTCCCACACTTGAAACAGTGATATTTTCATTCACAAAATTTTTGCTGCTTATGACTGTAGCATTTTAACTCTTTGCTAGACATGTGTCTGTCTTCTTAAATAATAACGATGATAATGATATGTCATGTTTTTACTTTTCTTTGGTGTTTGAACTTACTAGAATTTTGCTTTGGAACTATAGTTTCTTTTTTTTAATCTACCTCTGATATTGCTCATCTTGTGATTCAGCTTTATAGCTACTTCAACATTAAATTACTTATGCAATGACTTATATTTTATCCAATTTCTTTGCCATAAAATCAACTTAAGTGCCATAAAATCAACTTAAGTAGCATAGAATATCTTCATAGTAATCTGTTACTGGCAATTTGCAGTGGGTAACTGTCTTATTTTCCTACAGCCCAATAAATACAAGTCAGAATCTCTCATCCTTTTGGAGTTTAAGAAGTAAGACAAGCTGAGTTAAATTTTAAATGCAAATGAGGTCCCCAAGAGAAATCCACCCACCTACGCAGCACAGGGCTGTGCTGTTAGTGTCTGAGACCTCCAGACATGGGGCTATGCTCTCGGTTTCCACTGGGTCATAAATCACTAACATGTATGTATTTTTCTCCACAGTAAAACCAACTGTGATCGATGTGGACATTTATGTTAACAGCATTGGTCCTGTGTCATCCATAAACATGGTAAGAAGCACCTGTGTTTAGCTCAACGGCTCTTGCACTCCTTCATGACTACAGTTTCCAACAGATTCGGGTTGGAGTTTTATCATGTGGGTTTGAAGCCCACTATAACTCCTTAAGTGTTAAGTGATGTGATATTGAAAATGGTCTTTAAGAGTCAAGAGGGACAGCTTGTGATGTCATCAGTGAGCCATTGCTCTGGAGATTAAGACCTGTCCCCACTCTCACACGTATTGACAGTGCATGCCTTTGAGATGGGATTATTTGGGGTTGTGTAGCCATTGTCTTTATCTGACCTCACTAATATTAGGGATGCATATAAATGGTAGGCACCTTTTGGGTTGAATTCTGTGAATAAGCCAGCTCCTGGTGATTTATTTATCTGCTTCAGGAGGAATATAAGAGCAAATACATTATTTTCCTGAATATATGGGTTTCCATAGGCTTGTAAGCAAGTTGGGCACTGGACTGTCTCCTGTGAAAGAAGTCATGCATGATGGAAAGTGCATAGCTGCTAAGCAAGTGATGTTGTGTTAGAATGTGGTACACGGGCCTCCTGACATGTCTTCCCACTGTGGTGTGCCTCCTGACTAGATGCATGTAAGATTTCCAGAGCAGGTCATTGGAGGTTGCCAACAATGTCCCATACAGGGCTTCTTTGTGCCTGCTGCCTCTGAATCTGGGAGATGTCTAAGAGAACGGACAGGGAATTGCCAATACACCAGCACATGCCTTCTCATTGCAGTGCGTTGTGCATGGGATTAACTCCTTCAAACCAATAGCAGGAATGTCTCTTTTAATTGCCAGATGTTACAATTGCTCTTTGACAGAAGGCTTCCATGTCATGGTAAAATTGTGTGATAGGTGATTCTCTTTTCAAAAATTGAAACATCTCAAAGGTGTGGCTAATGGCAGAATGGTAGCATGTATGAGGTTAGATGTACAATCTGTAGCACAAAAAAAACTTCCAAACAGAAAATTAATATCAATGTCATCCATACATATGAACAAAAAGGTGAAATGAATAAAAGAGACTTGCTTCACACAACCCATGTGAGTGGGTGTGTATTAAACGGAATGTGTATTAAAATCAATTAGTAATGTAATCGTCCCTTACCTGGCAAGTAATAAACTGAGCTGACTGTGCTGAGAAAATACTCATTTTTAATGCATTTGTTTCTTACCTTGGGTTGGCCTTGGTTGCCTTTCATCCACACATCTTCTGCTTGCCTCTGTGTCTCATTCTAATTTATCTCTAACACTGAAAGTTCCTCTGTAGACACAATCCCACAACACTTTAGTGAGAGTGATGCATTGGTGTTCCTAGAGGTTTGCCTAGCTCCTGTAGCTTGGAGATGTACTTTGTGCTCAGAACTACACTCTGGTTGGGCATTTTAGTGTGGAAATCAAATGTGCCAGAGGAGGATGCTAAGTGACATCACCCACAGATGGCAGGGACTTGGCTGAATGTCAAACTCGTCCAGGACAGGTTAGCAGGTTGGTATGGTTGGAACAACATTTTCCAATGAAGTCAGCCTGATCTTTTGCCAATGGGGACAACCTTACCAGGTCCCTCATGTGACACTAATGGAGATAAGTGGAATGTTGGCTAAGAAGCATTCCTGGACCTAAGGGACCAAGGCCTGAAGAGAGATGGGAGAGACTTGAGCTATATCTTAGACTTGAAAAAGTATGGAAACCTTCTTGGAATGTGCACCAGGAATTAGTACAGACCTCATAAGATCTCTTGATAATTCTGTCTTCTTCCTTTTAAGATTTTTTCTTGAGACAGTGTGTCATGTATCCTAGGCTGGTCTCAGATTTGCTGTGTAACCAAGATCACCTTGAACTTCTGATCTGAGTGCTGGGATTACAGGCATGTGCCATGTAGGCATTCCTCGCTTATGCAGTGCTGTAGACCAAACGTAAGGCTTCATGGAAGCTAAGTAAGTGCTTTACCAACTGAAATACATCTCCACTCTCCATGTTAGGATTTCAGGCTTGAATTCTGGCCCTTCTACCAAACAGTAAAGAATGATTTTAATCAGGGATGCTAGATGGCTCAACAGGGAAAGTCATTTGTTGCCAAGTCTAAAGACCTGAGTTCAATTCCTGGAACTCACAGGTGGAAGGAGAGAACTGACCCCCACAAGTTTTCTCCTCATTTCTATACATGTACCATACCATGCCTGCTTGTGTATACATGCATGCATATACACAAATACAAACACACAAATAAATAAATGTAATTTTATAAATTTTAAAAAGAGATCCTACTTAAATTGACCCAAGGTGTTCTGAGCCCTCAGAGGAAGATGCCTATGTTGTTCCTATGCTTCTTAGATTTCCTATTGGCTACCCCTTATTCTGACAAATGGAAAGTCCTATCTAATATTCTCCTGGTCCCTAAGGGACTAAGCACGAGAAACTGCAGCACGTCCACGTCAGTCTGCCAACTGGATGAAACTCCACTTTTGTTTCACTGTAGAGCTGCTAATTCTGAAATTCAAATCTCAGTGTTCACAAAGTCAATAAAGGTTCCGTGAGCATGAAAGCAATAACCATCATTATCTCTCTTAATTTGTTGATTGCTAAGTGGCTATTTGGGGGAAATCCTATAACCTTATCAAACTTTAACATTGTGGATGAAGCTAAATGAAAAACTTACATCCTGAGACCCTGAATATACTTCTAAATGACGCTTTTCTCATAAAACTGTCTTTAATTCAGTTGCCTTCAATTCTGTCATCTACCTTTCATTGCTGACTCAACCCTCATTACCCACTTACATTCAGTTTCCTACTCAATACTTTTTCATTTTTTGCAAGGTCTGCATTTTACATTTAAGTATCTTATTTTCTGAAACTGTGGTGTGGCTCCACAGCTATATGAATTGAGCCTTTTACCATTCTGACTCTCCAGCAGCAAAAGGACCTTTGAGAAGCATCTTTGAGTTTGCCTCGGGAGGTCATGGGGGCCTCCCAAGGGTCAGACATGCTCTTATTCCCAAGCTGCAGGGCAGGTCTAACTTCACTCTAGCACCAGATACACTTAGCCTTTGCCTCCCTCAGAGCAGGACTTTCTCTGTGTGTATGTGCATGCATGTGTATCTGTGAGTTCCAGTAATAAAAGGTGGATAACAGAAATGAAAGCAGCTCAATTAAAGACTGTATTGTGGGGAATGCATCATTGGGAAGTATATTCAGGCTTTCAGGATGTAAGTTTTTCATTTAGCTTCAGCCACAATGTTAAAGTTTGATGAGGTTATAGGACTTTTCCCAAATAGCCACTTAGCAATCAATGAATTAGGAAAGACAATGATGGTTATTGCTTCCATCCTCACAGGACCTTTATTTGACTTTGTGAATACTGAGATTTGAATCTCAGAACTTTCAGCTAGGCATCGAAACAAAGGTGGAGTTCTGTCCATCTGGCAGACTGACATCCATTGACGTACTGCAGTTGTTTGCGTTTAGTCCCTTTGGGACCAGGAGGATGTTATTTTAGCAGAGTTATCATAACATCCTCTGGGTTAGCCACTGAAGTGTACTCAATGTGTGCAGCACCTGGTGGACAAGGATTGTTCTAGCCATAGTCAGAGGCACATGTAAGTTCATTTTTGAGAATTTCCACTTTTAAGTAGTCTTTTCAGAAAATTTAGTCTCCAGGGTGTTATACTGGTGGATTGCCCACTGTTTTTAATTGTGTTGAAAATGAAGCTCATTGACATCTCATGGGGAGCATTCTAAGTATGATCAGTTTGGTGGTCATCCCAGGACATCCTCAAGGCCATGGAGTGAAACGCAGCTGTGTGTACTACAGAAATACCACTTCAGCTACACACTGAGATGATGAGGGTTCAGCATGTTCCAGTGTTAGAATTACTTTTCCTTTCTAAAAACTGAAAGATTTGATTTTTGTTTCCTGTAAGTTTTGTTTCCTCTGGACAGAAAGTACAGAGGACCTTGATAGTGCACAGCTGACACAGGGGCTCTTTCCTTGCGTCCTGAGCTTCGTGGGACAAGTATATGTCATTCAGAATCATATCTTTACTTAGTACCTAGTATGTCCTGCCTGTTCCTCCTCTCTCCACTAAGATGGCCTTCTGAGAGCTCTGCATGCTCACTTTTCCTAGATGCTGCAGGGCTGCAGCCATGCTCCATGTGGCTCCACACTGATTCCTTCTTCTTTGTAAGTTCTGCCATCGGCTTACCTGTGCAAGCCCAATCACTCATCACCATGTAAGATTAAGGAATAGCAGGTAGCTGGGGAGGCACAGAGACAGGCTAGACATCACCAGAATATACATGGTGATGATTCATAACCTAAGTATTCAGAACTGGTATCATGCTGCACAGCCCTAAGAGTGATGGGAGAAAAGTGAGACTCACCAACCCCACACTTGTCCCTCTAGAGTGGACGTTTTGAGAGGGAACATCAGATAGCTGTATCTACTCCAAAGAGGTGACTAACCCTCTAACATGGTCTCTTTCTAGAGCTTTCCTGAAGGTATTCAGTTTCAGGGCCGAGAGAAGTGAAGGTCATAGCAACAAAAAGCAAGTCTTGCTTGATTTTCTTCATGTTACTTTTCTCACCCAATGTTTATCACATTTTTGAATTTATAGTTTGATACCCTACATTCATACTTGAAAAACTTGCTTTTTGCCCTTTTTTCTGACATAATTTTACATATATATGGCTACAGTGCAATGTTTAGGTTCAAGTAAACACCATGTGATGATGACATAAGGTCAAGTAAAGCATCCAAGACCTTGAGTATTTATTTCTTTGTGGAAAGAACATTGATTACAGTCAGGATATGGAGTCAATCTGTCAATCACTAATGAACAGACTATAGAGCACATGAACAATGGGGTAGTATTGTGCCAATCTAGACAACCATAGAAACATGGGTAGACCTGGAAGATATTATATTAAGCCAAGCAAGAAAAACAAATACCCATGATCCCACTTGTATATAGGTATCAAATGTTATTTCTTAA